AATTTTATGACCGAACAACTTAATATTTGTGTCACGAAAATAAAAAAAGATTAGTCATTGGGTTACATTATTGGTTTTGTATTCCTTCTAACGGTTTGTCTTATTCATATGACTTCGAAAAGTACAATTCATAATTTTGGGCATCGCAATAAATTATTATATCATGTTTCATGCAACTTTGGTTTTATGAGTATACGTCGTTGGTCCTCCCAACAGTGCTTGAGGTTAGACCAAGAATGCTGAGGTGGCCAATAAATGTAAAGTGGAATTTGGTAAAAATTGAATTAGTCTTTAAGAGGCTTACAACCGCCGAGGTGAGTTATTTATTTTTATACTCCATAGACAATCTTATTATGATCTCGTGATACTTTCATTGAGTTTGAGTGTATTTATTGGCTTGCAGTTTATGATTATTTCCTCGAAATAAAAGACAATGATCATCATTTACTTACCCCTCCTCTTGAAGAACCATTCAGCTCTGCAAAGCATCTTCCATAATGAGAGACTCAATCCCGACCACAATCTCTCACATTCGTTTATGTTTCTGCAATAGTTCCTTATCGCAGCGGTCTAGAACCAACACATGCTTATACATATACATATAATAGCCCTCGTATTGGTCTTCAAGAAATACATGAACTATTTCAAGATCATCATAAATTGTTCATGGACTGTAAAGTCACAGCTGACACTCATCTGACAAATATAAAGAATACAATTACAGAGTTAAAAGCTGGAGTCATACAGCAATAAAACAACCTCGTGGGGAATTACCAATGAAACGGGCCAAAGATTCCCCACTAGGAAGCTTAATTCGAAGGATTAAACTAAGAGAAGGTCGAAGAAAAAGACAACTCAGTTTCCCACACATGATTTTTGAAAGGAAGAAGAGAAGTAAACCAGCACGGGAAGTTGTAGAAGAGCCTAAAGAGGCATATACATTTCCAAAACATCATCAAATTCAATTATTCTTTGTTAATATAATTAACATCTATTATTTAATAGGTTGGAGTTGTAAATGAAGGTGAAGCAGACCAATTATATTATTCACCATCTATTAAAGAGGAGGCAGAGGATGTAAATTAGGGGGAATCAACAGCTTTAGAGTTTAATATAAATGACGACATTATTGTTGGTCAACCAACTGTAGATACTAAGGAAGTGACAGAATTTGGGGAGAAAGAGGAAAATCAGAAGCAGGTGGAAACACAATATATTGATGAAAATTATCCGGATAAGGTATATAATATTTTTTTAAGAGTTTGTATAACGAGTTTTAATATTCAAACTATACAAGGTTATTTGCTTATTTTATAGGTTTGTTCAGCACCATTGGTGGTCGATTTTCCTGCTAGAAAACAAATTCCAAATTATATGAGGGAAGCAATCGACCTTTATTGTAGCAAAATCACCGACTTATTAGTGTGCTATGTTTTTTAATTAGTTTAGATGTTCTACTTTCGTATAAATTTGACTTAACATTTATATATTTGAAATGTTGAGGTGATTTAGTTATTAATATGGGACATGTGTCGTTAACACGACGTTATCTCGATGAACTCATCGGGGAGGGTTAGTTAGGAAATGAACAAGTTGATTGTTTTGCAATGTTGATGGAAAATAAAAGATTTCAGGCTCCGCATTTATATAAATCATACTTATATGTCTCTCCATGTCACTGAGTAATTTTTGCAATTCCCTTGTCCTATAATGTACCCAAATACATTTAACACTACCATTTATGCTTATGTGATATGTCTCCTTTTATGCAGCTGCATAAAGTTAGAAATGTTAAAGGATTTGTGTAGCACATTACAACTGAAACCGTTGTGAATGTCGAGTTGATTCTACTATTAATAATAAATAATTAGCATTGAACATTATTAGTTGGGGCAATGAAGGAGCCCAGATGGGGATTTTACGACTCCTTACCAAATAAAATGCATTTGAATATCACCGACGCGATTGTACGTAGACAATGTTAATTACTTTATGCCTTGGACAAACACTAGCTCATTCATTTCTATATATAATTGTGCAGATTAAATATTTTTTAATGATGCTGGGGAAGCGTTCAAAACTGATTTGAGTAAATTGTCGGTACATATGGCTAGAGGCATACCAGTACAGAGCAACAATTTTGACTGTGGAATATTTGTATGTAAATATATGGAAACAATAGTGCAAAAAAATAAAGCTGATTGGAAAGAATATTTAGAATGACAGAAGTTTATGACATTATTTAGAGCAGAAATAGGATACAAGATCTGCAAATTTGCTTTGTCAATAACATAATTCTTAAGGAATGATTACAGGTTTATGTTTGTTATAATTTATCTCTTTAGTCAACAAAACAAATCATCATTTTGAGCTAAATTTCTTAACGAATGATCTTACTTTTCTTTTTTAATAATGCAAATATAAGTGTTAAAGTTTCATATGTTTTGTCAATAATATAGGTTTATGTAAATTTGCATTGCCCAAAATATATTTCTTAAGGAATGATCTTGATTTTCTTTCTTAATATGGCAGATCGAGGTGCTCAAGTTAATGATGTTAATATTAAGATGTTGATTTGAGATGCAAGTGCTGATTTAGGTTCTTTGTATTTTGAGATGCTGATTTTAAGATGTTGATTTGATCTTACTGATTTGGGTTCTTTGTGTTTCACGCATGCTTCGATCTGGATGACCATATGGATGTATGCTGCAGTTTAACTAAATTTTGGGAGCTATTGGATAATTTTAAATTTTGTACATTCCAATGAATTATTTGGTTTGGAGATATAAAACATGTATTTTGGGTTTTATTTGCAGTTTTATGTAATGATTGTAAAGGATTTCTTGAGCTGTGAATAAAAGTATAAATTTTGTTTAGCTATGTATAAATTCTGTGAATAGAGTTCTTATAGATTATGAATGGAGAGAGTTCTTATATAAATTTTGTGTTTAAAATCTGTGTATAAATTATGTGGCTAAGATTATATATTTTGTGGCTTCAATAATAGATTGTGTGGCTTCAATAATAGATATATTTTGTATACGCACACAGGAAGCATCACACACGCATAGAGCTTAGAATCAATACAGAATTCTGCTTACAAAGATTATTACAAAACAATAACTAAAAAATTCTTACAAAGCTTAATTGTAAATCTGATTACAAATCTGAATAAGTGCAGAATTCTGGTTACAAATTTGATTACAAAAGAATAACTCAAATATTCTTACAAAGTTAAATTACAAATCTGATTACAAATCTCGAACGTGTGCAGAAATCTGCTTACAAATCTGATTACAAAATAAGAACTCAAATCTCATTGCAAAGTTGAATTACAAATTTGATTACATAATAAGAACTCAAACCACATTGCAAAGCTGAATTACAAATCTGATTACATAATAAGAACTCAAATCTGCTTACAAAACTGAATTACAAATCTAAATAAGTGCAGAAATCTGCTTACAAATATGATTACATAATAATAACTTAAATCAAACTTGGATGTCCTGTTGCTAAAAAAAAACTCATCAGCCTATCGCTCACATCAGTTTCAAAATCTCATTCAAACATGTTATCCTCAACACGACTCTCTCCAAATAACTGCAATAAAATATTGACATCACCATTTTCAATTTTACATCTCTTCCCTCTTTGAGTGTAGTTGAAAGCATATGTCTTTGTACATTTCAGGTTCTCTACACCCTCAACTTCTTGGGCTAGGAAGTTAAACATGAGTTTTGGTCTTATCCCAGACTGTGTCATGGATCTAAGTACATCTGTATTTATTTCACTTATCTTTCTGCTGGAACACAACAAGTGCTTGTCACCAGAGTTTGCTAATGAGTGGTTATGCGATTCAATTAATTTTTTAATTGTCCAATTGCCTTCCTCATCAACTCCGTATCGAATCATTGCAGGACAACTAGGTCTTATTTCTGCTCTTCTATATTTAACACTCTCTATAATCTTGAGCTCTTTCTTGAACTTGCTTTTCCACATAAGAAGCATTCGTCTTAATATTTATGGAATTAGGCCAAAACATAGCATGATCCTTACGAACACTGAATCCAATATGATGAGTGTAAGCACAATATACTTCATAAGTTTCTTTCTCATTGTGGACCATCGTTTGGAGTAATATGTTTGTTGTTTGCTCGGTATAACTAGCTTTGCTCTTGCCAAACTGCACACAAGAGAATAAAATGTTAGGCTCAATAGATAGCTCAAAAAACATCCCTAAACTTCATAATGACACCTAAAAAAGAAAACCTAAAATCATACACCTCTACAAACATGCGCCTTAAAAAACTTGACTATTTTTAATTATCTACAAACAAGTGCCTCAAAAAATTGGGGTTAATGTAGGATAAGATATTTACTTTACTGTTTTAATTAAACCTAATACCATGCAACTCTACAAACATAACACAACATACATACACCTCCAAAAATACAAATACAACCTGAAAATAAGAAAACTATAACAACAAAGAACATTAAAGAAACCCTAACTAAATATAATAATAAAACATCTTCAAATATACCTCTATTTTAAGTTCCAGTTATTCTTTCCTGTCAGGATAGCTCTCATCTTCTCATTCTGTGTCATACATAAACTGACACTCTCTGTACTCGTACTCTATCTTCAAGTTCAACAGGTCCGGTTGCCGGAAGCTGCCGCTGCAGAACAAAATAGTCAGAGAACAATCAAATTGTAAATCTAGCTGCTTAAATACCATACTTCGTGCTCACCAATTTAAAATCATGTACATCGCAATTATACTCAGGGTACACGTGGTTCTAATTGGACGGGCTTAATCGTCCGTTACATGACAGTTACATGAAGGGTATAATCTTTAATCTATGCAGGTTACAAGCGCTGTTCCGCTATACAGGCTTGATAGTCTGTTATACCGCCGTTATAATCGAGTTACAGGAATGGTATAACTCTCCTTCCGCTGCGACGACGTTACATGGAAGTTTCATTCAGGTTACAAGCGCGGTATAGCGACAAGGTTACAACCGGGTTACAACGAAATTACAAGTGTGTTACATAGGAGATTACCTTGGAAGGTATAACATGAGTACAATGCGGTTACAAGAGCGTTAATGCAGGCTAATCGCAAGATTTAAAAGAAGGTTACATCGGAGTTACAAAGGGGGTTATAAGTGCATTACATCGCGGGCCGGGTCGACGGGTCACGCGTGGCAAAATTCCTATTTATAATCTTATTTTAACCGATTGCGAGATTTAAAAGAAGGTTACATTGGAGTTACAAAGGGGGTTATACGCGCATTACATCGCAGGCCGGGTCGACGGGTCATGCGTGGCAAAATTCCTATTTATAATCTTATTTTAACGCAGTGGGACCGACGCAAAATATGTGACTTTTTCCGATTGCTTGTCGCACACATCGTTGCGTACATTTATCGTACACAAATTTTTTCCCTTACAAAGACGCTATCTTACCTCTCTCTCTATATATATATATATATATATATATATATGTGAAAAAAATATATTTTTTATTTTTTTAATTGAAAGTAATTATATAGAGACATTTTCACCTGGTTCTCATATATTTATATATCTAACACCTAAATTTAATTTTTATATTTATACCACTAAAATCTTTCAAATCACTTAAAAAAATATTATTTTATAACTTTTAAAACATGAAACACACCTTTTCATATATAGGAAAAGTGGTATGATGTAAAAATCAAAAGTTTGGGTGTTAGATATGTAAATACACTTCTATGAAGTACATATTTATATGCACAACCCAAACTCACACTTGCACGCCCACACATACATATGTAAAATGAAGCTTAGATGTAAAATATGACAATACATAGGAGTTGTTTTAATATTTTTAATTTGCAATAAAAAATTTGAGTTATATAAATTCATAAGAAAGGCTTTTATATATTAATCATTCAAAACTTTAAATATAATGTTTTGATTATTTAAATGAGGTTATTATATATAGAGGTCTCCAAACTTTGTAAATTACAAATTAAGACCCTAAAATATTTCTATCATAACTCCGTAGCAGTGCTTCCATCTTTTATGTCGACCAACTTTTCCCTTGCATAAGACTGCTCTCTTTGAGTTGGTTGACAAAGAAGACGGCAAACACTGCAGCAGAGTCGTGACGAAGACTTTCTGACGTAAATTAAATGTTTTAGGGACTTTGCTAGTAATTTGTAAAGTTTGGAGACTCCATATATAAGAACCCTTATTTTAATTTAAAATATATATTTCAACTACTTAAAATTATATTTGCTTTTAATAAAAGAATGTTCGATTGTTATATTTGAAGTTTGAATAATTTTGGAGTGGTTCAAATGTAAAATTTTAGGCGATGAATCTTTTGCATTTAAAATTTTGAAGGGTTGGTATGTAAATATGAATTCATAAAAATGAAAGCCCGATGGGCTGGACCCAGGCCCAATTACCATCCTGCCGTCTTCCCGCTCATTCGCATTCTTCACATTCGAATCGTCTGCTAACGAAACCCTACTTCATCTTCCTCCCCAATTCAATTTCTTCTCTCCATTCTCCTTCCATGGCTCCACCTTTTATCTTCCCATCAAATATTCACGACCTGGAAGAAGAACCCAACGACCACCGCCTTTCGGTCACCTCACCGATCGATGTCTCTACTCTCGGTCCCTCCGAGCTCGATGAGCTTGTTAAAGGTACTATCTCGTTCACGACATCATATCTCTTACGCAAAAAGCCAACATGCCACTTATCTTCTCTTTTTGATATCGGGGAAAAAAGGCGTAGTTTTTGATCTCTCCGACAGAGACCTCTTCTGTATCGAGGATCAGGACGTATTTGACCGGGTTTACTCTCTCGTGAAGGGATTCTACTTTCTCTCACCCTCTTCTAAGTACAATCTCGTCGAGACCATTCGGTCTAATCTCGCTGTCCTCCTGCCCAGTGTTGATTCTCTCGCGAGGGCTCCTCATTCATCGCCATCCAACTCTGGTATCGACCAGGTTCCATTAAGCGAGCGCATTGCTGTCCATCGGAATGCTCTGAAGATATATACCTACTTTCTTATCACTATAGTGCTTGCTCAGGAATCTAAACAGGATACCAACACGAAGGTGACAACATGGTTTGAGACATGAAATCCTACTAGTGTCCGCGAGTTTATCTTTATTGGTCTCGTTTTTCTTGCTCAGGGTGCTGGGCAAGCTTTGAAGAAGAACTTGTGGAATTCTGAGGCAATTAGGGGTCGGATAGTTAATCTGATAGCCAATTCTTTGGAGATTAACCTGTCGCTTCTATTTGGATCCGGCGGCACCGATGGGAGCTATCTCTCATTCATTTCTAAGTGAGATTTCATGCATTGGTTTGGTGATTTTTATGCATTTCTGGCTTTATGAACTGCTTTAATTCTTACAAAATCGTACATGTTTGAAGGTTTGCTTTCAGTGTTTACGAGAACCAGGCTTTGTTGAAGGATGTAAGCACAAAAGATGGACTTGGCCGCATCATAGGTTGCATTGCGACTAAGCACCAGAGGACTGCTGAATCATGTGCCTCAATCCTCCACTTGATTTACAAATTTGACTTCACTGTTCTCCATCTTGTAGACGCTGTTGCTACTGCAGAGAAAAGGTACGATGATGGAAGCCTTGCGGTCGCCTTAATCAGGGAATTTGGTCTGACTGATCCGAAGGACTATGCGAGGGATGGGATCGGAGCAGAAAATGTGGGGAGATTCATTGTCGAGCTTGCCGATCGAATGCCAAGGTTGATGTCCACAAATGTGGGGTTCTTGGTTCCTCATTTTGGAGGGGAATCTTACAGGATACGGAGTGCACTAGTTGGGGTCTTAGGCAAATTGGTCGCGAAGGCATTCAAGTATTTGGAAGGAGACGAGAACTCCAAGGCATTGCGTCTTCGGGGAAAGCAGGCCATGTTAGACATTCTGATCGAGCGTTGCAAGGATGTTTCGGCATACACGAGAAGCCGCGTGCTTCAAGTGTGGGCGGAACTTTGTGAAGAACGTGCAGTTTCAATAGGATTATGGAATGAGTTGGCATTGGTGGCTTCAGGAAGGCTGGAGGACAAAACTGCAATAGTTAGAAAATCGGCTCTAAATTTGCTCATCACAATGCTTCAGCATAACCCTTTCGGACCACAGCTCCGTGTTGAAACATTTAGGGCAACATTGGAGAAGTACAGAGAGAAATTGCGTGTTTTGGAACCTGCTAGAGCAGAGGGAGATGCTTCTGATAATGAAAGTGTGAATGGAGAAAACCCTAGCACGGTTTCTCCTAGCGGTGATGTGCTAAGTAGAGAATCATTAGTACAATCAGAAGACAGTTCCAGTCAACATCAAACACAAGAGGATACTCATGTTCCAGATATTGGAAACCTGGAACAGATTAAGGCATTGGTAGCATCATTGGAGGCTGGGCTGCAATTTTCAAAGTGCATGGCATCCATAATGCCAATCTTGGTTCAACTTCTTGCTTCTTCTTCCGTGACTGATGTGGAAAATGCGATTCTCTTGCTGATGCGTTGCAGACAATTTCAGATAGATGGATCAGATGAATGTCTTCGTAAAATGTTGCCTTTGGTAAATTTTTGTTTTGTCCAAGTTTATTCATCATTTCGAATTAACTTTATGGTGTAGTTTCTTTCGGACCTTTTGTTTTATTATGGCTTGGTTCTCTCAGGTGTTTTCGCAGGATAAGTCCATTTATGAGGCAGTGGAAAATGCATTTATCAGTATATACATAAGAAAAGCCCCTTTAGAGACTGGCCGAAATTTACTAACTCTCGCAATCAATTCCAGCATAGGAGATCTTGCAGCATTAGAATGTCTAATTGGTTCTTTGGTGTCCAAAGGGGAAATATCTCAAAGCACGGTATGAATACTTGGCCTACCTTTCTGTGAAAAATTTTGCCTAAATTTTAAATTTTAACTTAATGTTAAATTAGTGAGAGTTGGTGTGGGTAGGAGTACTTGAATTTATGCTGCTTCATGTGTGACATTTATTTTATTTTATTTTATTTTTTGTCAGATTTCAGCCTTATGGGATTATTTCAGCTTCAACGTCAGTGGTGTGGACGCAGCTCAGAGCCGTGGAGCTCTGTCAGTTCTCTGCATGGCAGCAAAATCTTCTCCAGGCATTCTGAGCTCTCACTTGCAAGATATAATTGATATTGGTTTTGGACGGTGGGCTAAGGTGGAGCCTTTGCTCGCAAGAACCGCATGCGTTGCTCTTGAAAGATTGTCAGAGGAAGATAAGATAAAGTTAAGGAGCAATGGAAGCAAAGTTTTTAGTGTCCTACAGAACTTAGTGACGGGATTTTGGCTTCCGGAAAGCATTTGGCATGCTGCGGCCGACAAAGCCATCAGTACCATTTTCTCTTTACATCCAGCACCTGAAAGCTTTGCTGTCGACATGGCGAAGAAGTCTTTGGCTTCTGTTTTCAGTTTTACGGTGACTGATGAAATGCTTTGTCAAGTTGAGAATTATGGAATGAACCCTTGTACTGTTTCAACATCAAAGCTTGGGAGATTTCTTTTTGTCATAAGTCAAATTGCTCTGAATCAGTTGGTTTATATTGAATCTTGTGTCAGAGAAGTCCGTATTGAGAAATCTAAGAAAGATAAAGCCAAATGTGAATCTGTAATCACTGGTAGCATATCTAATGTTGCCGCAGAGGTAAGTTGTTTTTACTAATATTACATACATACACTCAATTCCTATGGATTTACATATCTAACACCTAAACTTTAAATTTTACATGCATGCCACCCAAATCATTCATATAACATAAAAAAATATCAACATTTTAACTTTTAAAAAGTCCGTATAGACATTTTCATGCTTAGGTAGGGTGGTATGTCTGTAAAAATTGAAGTTTAACTGTTAGATACGTAATACTTAAGCATTGACTGGTATTTATGTAAAGAAGTTTAACTGTTAGATACGTAATACTTAAGCATGGACTGGTATTTATGTAAATCTTCTCTTTTATTTTTATTGCTAACGATTTAAGTCATGCTGTAGAATCGTGGCTAGAACATTAGAATGGAACAATTTCCACAAAAAGGTTGCTCCTTTTCGGTTTGTTGTTCAACCTTTTCCGTTGGTTGTTGCAGGGTATAAATGCAGAATTGGGCATTGCTGCATCCGACGATGCGATAATCGACTCTTTTTTCGAAAGAGCAGAGAAGGAAATTATAGCTAGCAGTTTTTCTGATAAAAACATCATTGGATATTTTGCACCTTTTCTCTCAAAAGTTTGTAGAAATGTTAATGTGTTGCAAAAGGTGACTTTTCTCTAACTCCTGAATAAATAAAATATCAAATATTTATTCTTTGTATTGTATCTATCTCCTGATCATATATCCATTTTTTTTTCAGTATCCTGAACTGCAGGCTTCTGCAATGCTTGCTTTATGTCGGTTAATGATCATTGATGCAGAGTTTTGGTGAGTCGTTTAAATATCTAATTTACTTTTTTTGACGCATTTCTATACTATATTAACTATTTATATGAAAATTTGAATTTCAACATTTTTTTTGAATAAAATTTCCAGCGAAGCAAATCTGCAGCTTTTGTTCACCGTAGTTGAGAATGCACCTTCTGAAACTGTTCGTTCAAACTGCACAGTAGCTCTTGCAGACCTGACGGTTCGTTTTCCCAACCTTTTGGAGCCATGGACTGAAAACATGTATGCTAGATTACGAGATCCTTCGACATCTGTTAGGAAAAATGCAGTTCTGGTGTTATCTCATCTCATATTGAATGATATGATGAAGGTGAAACATAGTTTTTGAGCTTTCTTATGTTTGCACTTCTACACTTGTTATTTCTTGACAGATTATTGGAGAATAAATCAGGTGAAAGGCTATATAGATGAAATGGCAGTAAGAATAGAAGATAAAGACGAAAGAATTTCGAACCTTGCCAAACTATTTTTTCATGAATTATCAAAAAAAGGTATCGTTAAATGGTTGAATCACAAAGTGGATGAATGTTTTACTTTTGTGCAATGTATAATATGAATTGATTTTATTATTGCAGGTAATAATCCAATTTATAGCTTGCTTCCTGATATCCTTGGTAGATTGTCCAGCCAAAATCTTGAAGAAGGCGTCTTTTACAATATCATGCAGTTTTTGATAACCTCGATCAAGAAGGTATTTTGTTGTGGCATTTACATGCATGCCAATCCTTATGTATTCGAATATCTAACAACTAAACATTGATTTTTACATTTATACCGCCCAAATCTTTCATATAACATCAAAATTACCATTATTTTAACTATTTAAATACACCTTTAAAAAACACCTTTTCATGCATAGGTAAGGCGGCATACATGTAAAAATTGAATTATAGGTGTTAGACATGTAAATACAGAAGAATTGAGTGATATGCATGTAAATGTTCCTATTTTTGTTGATATATTCTATTTCTTTTGGTCTCCTTTCAATCCTCCTGTTTTATTTTATAGGACAAGCAAATGGAAGGTCTTGTTGAGAAGCTTTGTAACCGGTTCAGTGGAGTTACTGGTATGCTATCGTGGCACACTTTGCTCCTTCCAACGCCGTTTCTTGCAAATCTATATAAGAATATTCATTACTTTTAATACTTTAACGTGCTTGTGTGAGCTATTACCATGCTGAACTTCACACGTTATACTTGACACTTGAACTATAGCTACTTGAATAAATTGTTTGGGCATTTGCATACATAAAACTCAATTCCTATGTATTTATGTATCTGACTCCTAAAATTTGCTTTTTGCATTTGTACCAGCTAAATCTTTCATATCACATAAAGAAATACCACTAATTTAACTTTTAAAAAGCTTAATACACCTTTTCATGAATAGGTAAGGTGACGTATGTGTAAAAATTGAAGTTTAAGTAATAGATATATAAATACATAAGAATTTAGTGCTATGTATGTAAATCTTCCTAAATTATATGGTTTGCAACTAGATGCTAAATTTGTCTAATGTAGTGCTTTTTGGTTTAGTAGAAGGTTACAGGCCCTTTGATGGAAAGGTTGTCGTGTTACTTGAAATAGGTTGCCAACCTTCAAACTTTTCATTGTTAATATTGCTTGATCCTGATGGTCTGAAATTTTTGTTGAACATAATCTTTTTGGATATTGGTTCTAGTGGACCATTTTAAATGATGAAAAGTTTCTCTTTAGCAATAAAGGATCAACTCTGTAGTGACCACTTGGTATGATATATTTAGTTTTAAATAAGCAAGTAGATTAAAGAGCATAATTATAACTACCGGAAGTAAAACTTTTCTATTTTCCTTGAGAGGAACAACTCTTGTATTTTTAATCATCAACAACATTAATTTTATGCCAACTAATAGCAATAGGCCTACTTTTGTACTTTTTGATAGAAACCTTTAATATATGCTTAAACAAACAAATTATGAATATGCCAAGAACGATCGTACTGTGGATTTATGATGACAATTTTAAATGCTTCAAGCACATTTAATTTAGGAAATTAAGGTTTTCCAAATGGACTTGCTGGAAAATTAAAATAGATGAACTGTAAGATGACATTACAAGGGCAAAGAGCATAATCTAAGTCAAAATAATATACTATTAGAGAGTTGGTTTTAGTTTTTGACAAGAGATTGTCCAAGTAATAGTAATAAGGTTAAAAGGTGAAATGGAAATGGGATGCACTATAGCAAATCAGGGTAAAATCTTGCATTTGTTTGAAATGGAATCAAAGAGTTACATAACTTTTAATAGCATATATGTTACTATGTGGAACCTAGATGTATCCATCAATTTGTTTGTCGCGGGGGACGTGGGGTGAGGGGTGGGGAGAGGGTATGGAAGGGCAACACCCACTTATATCCCTTTGAGGGTAGTGCTTGGAATTTTTTTTTAAGTTCATAATACCTCAGAGCTTTACCCGCAGCGCTACAATATTAGCATTGTAGCGCTATTGTAGCAGTGTCCAGGTGTTATCTTTGCAGTGCCACTCCTGGAAGAAAATTTGTGTTGAAACATGATAACATGACACTATAACGATACCATTGTAACATCGTAATGCTATGTCGCAGTGTCTTAGCGCAACAAAGTGGGAGTCCCTTTTAAGCAGTTTTTCAGCAATTTCTTGTGTGGGATTTCAAATTCTCTTGTGCAAGGCGTGGAGTGAGTGTCCTTTTGTCTCAAAAGTTTGACGAGGCTTGAGAGTATTGTAATTTGCACTATTCTCCTAATTTTTTTTCATAGTAGATTACTTGGTGCGGTGTGGCTTCTGAGTTTTTTTCTTATTCTCTAGTTTTTCTGCATTAATTATGGTGTTTTCTTTGTTTTCTTTCTTTGTGCGTTTATTTTTAAAGTTTTGCTCCTAATCTCTCAAATTAATTTTCACAATTTACATCTCCTAACAATTGTTTGTTGAAGGAGGATTTGTAAATTCAAGCTCAATTAACCAAAGTACTACTGCTAATCTGTTTTTTTGGTAAATGGCACTCCCAATTAGTACATATTTCTTGCACACTTTTTAATTGATAAAACATATATAGACGTAAGTAATATGTCAGAACAATGCCGGGGGACCCGCTTATATCGGTTTGAGGGTAGTGCTCGGAATTTTTTTATTTTTTTTAGTTCATAACACCTCGGAGCTTTACCCGCAACGCTACAATATTAGCATTGTAGCGCTATTGTAGCAGTGTCTAGGTGTTATCTTTGCAGCGCTACTCCAGGAAGAAAATTTGTGTTGAAACACGATAACATGACATTATAACGGTACCATTGTAACATCATAGTGCTATGTCGCAGTGTCTCAGCACATCAAAGTGGGAGTCCATTTTAAGCAGTTTTTCAGCAATTTCTTGTGTGGGATTTCAAATAATCTTTTGCAAGGCGTGGAGTGAAAGTGTCATTGTGTTTCAAAAGTTTGAAGAGGCTTGAGAGTATTGTAATTTGTACTATTCTCCTAATTTTTCTTCATAGTAGATTACTTCTGAGTTTTTTTTTATTCTCTAGTTTTTCTGCATTAGTTATGGTGTTTTCTTTGTTTTCTTTCTTTGTGCGTTTTTTTTTAAGTCTTGATTCTAATCTCTCAAATCCGTTTTCACAATTTACATCTCCTAACAATTGATTGTTGAAGGAGGATTTGTAAAATCAAGCTCAATTCACCAAAGTACTACTGCTAATCTATTTTTTTTGGTAAATGGCACTCCCAATTAGTACATATTTCTTACACACTTTTTAATTGATAAAACATATATAGACGCAAGTAATATGTCAGAACGATGCAGGGAATGAACATGAATGAATAATGATTAGTAAAACAAAGATCTTGTATATGATATTCGATTTTAGCTAGTCTAAGATTAACATTCATAAGTCAATGCTGTTAGAAATCATGTTAGATCAATGAAGGCTATAAAGATAAGGGTATTATAATTAGCTAACAAACATTGTATATATGATATACAATTTTATTGAGTGATAATTATTAGTCCATGTTGCTAGAAAATAAATTGATATATAGTTTTGATAAGTTTATGTATCTTTAATTTATTATATAAAAGAGTGGGATATAAATTCTGAGTGGAAAAACACATTTCAAAGTGGTCTAATCAAAGTACTTTAAGTTACGTATGTAAATGAGTCTAGTAGAGTTCAAGCCACACTCAAGTTAAGCTTAAGCTTGATTAATTAATCGAGTTTGAGTTCGAGCTCAAATTTACTTTTACGAGTTTGAGCCGGCTCACAAGCTTGTCTTTTATCATGAAAGAGAGAAAATGATATTAATTTAAGCTAGTGTTATAAAAAAAGATAAATATAATGAATAAATTGGAGATAAAAAATCACCTCATTGAAATGTAAAATATAATTTTTTATAACTTTTTGAATAATTGATACATTAAATCTCAAATTTTAATATATTTTGGTGTATTCTTTATTAATAATTTTTAAACGAGCTTGCTTTCGAACTAGCCAATTGAGTCAGGATTGGCTTGATCTTAGCTTGTTAGCTCATTGAGTTCAGCTCATTAACCACTTATCAAGTTGAGCCCATGTCAACTCACGAAGCTGCTTGGCTCAATTACACCCCCAACTTTAAGTACTTATTATAAGAGAATATCATTAAGGCTTTAAGGTAAATTTATAAAACTAGAGTTGCTACTTGTGTTCGAACTGAAGGATGATGATCAAGCATTTTCTTTTTTTTATTGGATTAAATCAAAGATAGACTTTAAGCCCATATCTTTTTGCTTTAGTTATGGATGTTCTTACTGGACATTTACAAGAGGATGTTCCTTTTGGTGTATTATTTTCCATTGATAATGTCCTTGTGGATAAGATTAGAGAAAAAGTTCAGAAAAAAACATGAATCTTGGAGGTCATTTAGTAGAGTCTAAAGAGCTTTCCTTTGAGTAGATCTCAAATTGAATGCATGGAATGTGATTTTAGTTGTAGTAGATCTAGTTGCGGTGTTGTAACAATGGTTAATCAAGTCATTTAAAGGAGCGAACATTGTAGATATCTCATAGTTTATTGTTCAAAGTGATGTTTATATAGATGGGGATGCTATTAGCGGAATTCAAGTTGGATGGTTGAAGGGGGGAATTTATCATTCTTATTTTATGATAGAAAAGTACCGTTTAAACTTGAAAGAAAGTTTATAAGATGATGGTGAGACCTGTAATGCTTTACGGCGCAAAATGTTGGCCTATAAAATAGAAGCGTAAAACTAAGTTAATTACTAAGATGAGAATACTTAGGTGGATGAGTGGCTTTCCCTTTAGAGAAAAAAGGTGAATTGTATATTCCGTGAAACTGTTGGTGTAACTCCAGTTTTAGGCAAGGTTAGAGAGCGTCGGTTTTGATGGTTTGGTCGCATTAAATGTCTAGATGATTTGGTCGCATTAAATGTCACTAGTTAGTAGAGTAGATGTTTTTATATTCGACTTATTTTAAGAGAGGTAGAGTTAGACCTAAAAAGACTTTGGCATGTTGTAAAAAAAATGATTTTAATTTATTAAAATTAAATTAAAATATGACAATCAATAGGACATAATGGAGAAAATGGATTCATGTAGCCGAATCCATTTAGTAGGATAAAGGTTTGTTGTTGTTATATATTGTATAGATGTTCAAAGTTATCAATATATAATTGAAAGCTTAAGTGTGAAAAATATGATATTTAAAATGATTGTGTAACAAAATTAGAAAGATAAGGTTGTGAGAACTTGACTTTGGTAATTTGGGCATATTCAATGGTGGAAAATATATGCATTAATAAGGCTTAGCAAAATTGATGTGTAAGGATAAAAAATATACATTATATTGATGTGCTAAGTAAATTTGTAAAGCTTTAATTTGTCAATTTATATTATAGATGCGCTAAGTTATCAATATGCAATTGAAAGCTTAAGTGTGGTAAATATGGTAATTTAAAATGATTGTGTAGCAAAATTAGGAAAGATACGGTTGTGAGAATTTGACTTTGGTAATTCAGGCATTTTCAATGGTGGAAAAAATATAAATTAATAAGGCTTAGCAAAATTGATGTGTAAGGATAAGAAAGTGAAAAAAAAAGGAAGATGACGGGAACTTAAACCAGAATGTATGGGCATTGATGATTCATAAACTACCCAGCTTAGATGTCCTATAAAATTATTAGATTTATCCATATGTATTACTGATTGTACTTGGTTTTTATTTTTTGAATAGTCTGGCATCTTTTTGAAGAACTGAAACCCTTGGGTGCAGGACTAGGTGAATATAATGCTAGAATTGAAGGCTCAATTTATAATTTGCTTCTGTTTGATTGATCTCTTCATAGCCATAATTCATAGCTACTGCTACAGCTGTGAAAATTAAAAGAACTATATGTATTTCTAATTTTTCTTTTCCTTTCAGATAATAAGCAGTGGGAGTGCATTGCTTGTTGCCTTTCACAATTGACATTCAGTGAGAGGGGATTGAAAAAGCTTGTCGAGTCTTTCAAATCTTATGAGCATGCTCTATCTGAAGATTCTGTCATGGATTACTTCAGGACCATTATCAACAAGGTAAATGCATTCCCCATATTTACAAATAGTCTGTTGATAACGAAATCCCTATCTTGAGATAGTCTGTTTTTGCTGTTTAATCTCTACTCACCTCCCTTATCTTTATATATCAGTGTAAAAAATTTGCGAAAACTGAGGTGAAATCATGCATTGAGGAGTTTGAAGAGAAGCTAGACAAGATCCATGTGGAGAGGAAGGAGCAAGATGCAACTGCTCGTAATGCATTAGCCCATCAGAAGAAAGTTGGAGGTCCAATTAGAGTTAAGAAAGATGATGGTGATAAGGCTACAGATGAAATTGATGCTGAAGGTAACCTGCTCAAGTTGCTTTAATGAAGCTTTCTACTTTATGAAAAGAACTCTAGTTAGATGAACCCAGTTGTGCTGTTCGGTTAACATTACCCTTCGCTTTTATTATGTTTCAGCATCAACCTCTTCCAACTAGGTTGCCCATCACACCCCATTGGAAACCTCTCTCTCATTTGTATTTAGAGGCATTTTACATGCTTAAGACACAATTCTGATGTATTTACTTATCTAACACCTAAACATTTATGTTTACATGCATACCACTCAAATCTTTAACTTCACATTAAAAATAGGACCATAACTATCTTTTTAAAAGTGAAATGAACTTTTTTATACATAGGTTTATGACACCAAGGTGTGATAAGTGTAAATATTAAACTTTGGTTGTTACACATGTAAATACATAAGACTTATGTGGTATGTATTCAAATTTCCGGACTTTACTATTTACCTTGAGCTTTAATTTCCCCCCAGAAGATGAACAAATGATTTTGCAATGCAGCTATAATACATGTGGACCACTGGAGGGCACATTTTTCACTAGTTTCAAGGCTTCTGTTGTTTTAATTCAATTAATTGCATTCATCGCTATTTTTTTCCCAAAAAATGTCAGTTATATAAGAGCAATGTAATCAAGCATTCCTGTTTGTCATAGTTTAATTATGCTTTTCTTAGAACTTTCAGTCAACTCAACCCACTATTTTGTAGCAGTAACCTTGATTCATCTTTTTGGTATTGCTTTACTCTGCTTTAATTTTGATCGTTCATTGCTTTTTCTTCGATCTATGCTTTTGAGATCTGTTTTGTATTCATTGAATTGCTAGATGAAACGAGTGAGGTAATCAATCCGTCTGAGTCAGCAGAAAGTGGCCTTACTAGCACAGTAAAAGGACATGTGGAAAATGGATTGGAAATTCAGTCACCAAAAGCTTCACACAGAGGTGATGTAGATGCTTAACATCTTTACATTAGATGTGAGATGTTTTGTAAATAATACTAGCTCGTATTTGCTTTCAGGTGTCTCTAGATCCAAGATGAAGGCTGGCAAACAATCAAGTTTAAGAGAACATAAGAATAGTAGTCCCGTACGAAGCATGCACAGGATGAACAGAAGGTCTCTCTCTCTCTCTCTCTTTCTCTCTCTCTGGTCATCTGTTTGTCTGTAATGAGATGAAACTTAATGGAAACCTTCAACATGTTAGAGTAGACATATGAATTATCTCAATATGAACATTATAGAATTATAGATACCTTGAACATACGCCTTCTAATGATATACTGAATCAAATTTCAAGTAAAAATATTCTAAAATACTGGAATTATTTCATTGTGTGTTTATAGGCTTATGCAACAACCTTGGCAACTAACAAGGAAATTATATAGTTATAAATATCAGCACCCTAGGAATGTAGAAGGAAGCTTCTGAATCAGTATCTTTGGATTTTAGTTTAATCTTCTGTGCATGTAGATGTGCGATTTTTTCAAGTATAGTTATAAATTTCACTACTAATTTTGAGGGAAGTCATCTTCTTTTATAGGTGGTCTTTTGGATGTGATGGTGTTGATGGAGGATTGTATCTTGAGCATGAAGAATGATAATATCACTATGATCATAAAAAAAATCATATTAATAGCTCCATGATAAAGAAGGATTATCTTTGTGAATAGAGTATGATGTATGGGGAGAAAATGGTGATCATTTGGATGGCTTGGAAAAGCTTTCTAAAAATGAGGAAATTAGAAGAAGAGTAGCTATCATAAAATGCCCTCAAAGGATGATAACCATTCCTTATGTTTGAGTGATTGCAAGATTTTGAAACGAAATGGTAAGTTTCCCATGAAGGACAAGACTTATAGGAATGATGGTCAATAAAGAAAGATGCACGAAAATGAATAGGGAGATGAGGAAGTGTCAACCCAAAGGAAAATTATGAAGAAGTTTGAAATTTGTGAAGTTTATATGGGATTATTGGAAATGTTAAATGTTATGGGGAACACAATATATTTTTTTGGGTTTTTAGCTTTTAAAGGGAGTGTGAAATTATATGCTTAATGGATGAAGATCATGTAGGTGCATTTTTGCTTGGTTTTTCGTGTATGAAATATGAATAACCCTAAGAACCCATTACGGACATGAAAGGTTGTTTTGGATATATGGATAGGATTTAATAAGGTTTGATCAACTGAATTAGTTTATCTTCATTTGAACACTTTGAACATGATAGGTCAATGGGGAGGTAAGGGCTTCGGTTTTGTGCTTCAGCTTTTGGTAGCGTTAGCTATGATTTAGAAAATGGCTAACTCCGGTTTGGTCTTACTATTTTAAATGGTGGATCAAATTGTGGAGTTTTTTAGTGGCTGAGTTCTGACTGTGAGAATTTGGGGCAGTAGTCTTCTGAGAAATTGTAGAGGAATAAAAGAGGAAGAAAATATTTTGAAAGCATACTGATCCGATCAAAATTGAGACATTTAGCACCAAAATACTAACATGATATAAAAAAAAAAAATTGCAGAAAATAATGTAAATCTAAAAAATTGGAGATGTTTTGGAGGACCAAATGCACTCTAGTTACAATTTAAATTTTGTAAGTATTCATACACAAAGGTAAGATCTTAGTATCTTACTCAAGTGAACACCTCCCACCACCACCTCACGCACAAACATAGTTCAAACATCAAGAGGACGCCCAAAAAAAAAAAAAGATAGAAAGTTTTCCGCGCAAAGTAAGTTTGTTCCATTGAGAGAAAACTGTTCTATTACCAAATGATGAAGATTTGTGCGAACGAAGATGGAGAAGATGATGAGGAAAAGATGGAAAAGCTTAATAAATATTGGGAGCGCGGTGGACACAACAAGAATTCTCTAATGAAAAACCTTTCTTTCACTGCTCCATAGTCCCATAGCGTTATGCTGGTATTTTCTGAATATTTCAAAATAGTATGATGAGGTGCTACTTTCTTTCAAGGAAGATTTACATACATAGCACTCAATTCCTGTATTTACATATCTAACACATAAATTTTAGTTTTTACATAAATACCACCTTACCTATGCATGAAAACGTGCATTTCAGTTTTTAAAAGTTTGCATTTCAGTTTTTAAAAGTTAAAATGATGGTATTTTAGGTGTGATATTTGAGATTTTAGTTGCATAAATGTAAAAAAGCAAAATATAGGCGTTAGATTGTAAATACATGTGAATTGGGCATTTGGGTGGCATGTATATAAATGCCTTTTTTTAATTGTTTTTCTTTGTAAAGATCTGCTTTTATGAGAAGCTTTGAAAATATAATTCTTTGAACTAAAATCATATTGTGCAGGAGAGGAGGGAAGATACCTTGAAAGATGCGGCAGCTCCTTGCGCTTGTAATTAATCAGATGGGTAACTCTAATTCTGCTTCTTGCTGCCGTTTTCATGCACTTAACATCATTTGTTGGTGTTCCTCTTGTGATCTGATTTCATTTGAACCTTTTTTTATTTCTTGTAAAATCCCCTTTTACATAGTTATTTGAGCAAGTAATAGTGTGTTTCATATTACTTGCAAACTTAGTATTTCTTCTTCTAGGATAAAAAATGTAATATAGATTGAGGATTGTTGATGGAGGTAAGGGAAATTTATGAATGGATTAGTCTTGATTATTTTCAGGGATTTGATCTTGAAAATGCATAAAATTAATTATGAATGTTTACATATTGTTTAAAATTGTCATCTGAATGCAACTTACAATCCTCCTTAGCTATTTTTTTTCTTGCATGTCTACACATTTTGATGTAAAGAGACCTTTTCAAGGTAGTATTTGAGTTTTCATTTTTTTTTTTTTGGGTGCATGGATGTAGAGGGAGGGAGGGAGGGAGAGAGAAAGATGTAAGCAAATGAAAACTTGTAGCACACTTTTTTAAAAAAATATTAAAATATAATTGGTAAATCTGGTTTACTTTTTAGGTTTATTTTAATTTTTAAATAATGATTTTCATCTATAATTATTTTTGTTGGATGGAGAATGATGCTTCTCTTTATGGGAGAAAAAAAGTCTTGCTCCACCCTTTTGCCATCGGCCCCAATCCTCTTAACCCTTATTTATATATATTTGTATTAATTTTTTTTAATCTAAAAACATATTAAGTATTTAAATTAAAAAAAATTAAATTGTGAATGAGTGTCTTAATAATATGAAATTAATAAAATAAAAGTTTTGATTTGAGTCCAAGTGGGCCAAAATTAATAACATACAAATTTCAAGAGACCAAATATATGTTTTTTATTTTCACATGTTTATATTTAAAATAAGTATCTACATAAGCAAATTTGAGAGAAAATATTGCATCTAGTAAAAGACTAACCAGTGGGCGCTAGTCCAACATGGTTGGGCGTCACCTCAGCTTGTATGCCGAGTTGTCGACCGCCATTTGGTCGTCCGCACGTGTATGGCGGACACAATGTATTTTTTCCCAATTTGATGAGTTTAAAATCACTAAATTTTTATCATTTTGTTGCAAATATGCCTAGAAAATATTAAGCGGTGAGTTAATTTGGATCTATTGGCGGAGAGAATTAGAGTTGTTGCTGGTAGACATTGATCATAATGTAACATTAGTGTTTGTGCATTAATTAGTGTTGAAGTTCGCCATCACCATTACTTGAAGTTGATGGATACTCGATGTTTGACGCTAGCCTTCTCAGTTGTCTACTCTGCTCTCTTATAACGACTAATGGTCCGTTTGGGGCAGTTTATAAGTGTGGACGGCGTTTTCAAAACACCGCCGTACTGTTTGGTTCGCGCGTTTCACCAGCTAATCCGAAACTGCGTTTGGATTTTTACACTAAAATCAGGCCGTGGGTCGACCCTTGCGGTCGGCTCGCGGGCAGCATTTCAGGATAAACAGCTTACCTTGAAACGCATAAGCTGCCCCAAACGGACCCTAAGTTGGTTCATCTCATTATATGATCTCTAGTAGTTGTAAGCCTTCGCTTGATGCTTATCAATAATTGATGTACAACTTGCATGTCTATTTAGTGTTCACTTTTTAATAAGAAAAATGATTGCAGGTCATTGTTCATCACTCAATATCTAATATTCTTGGTTTAATATTACCCAACACATATAAATATCTAATGCTTATCAATCACTGATAGATGACAAATACCCATTAGTTGCATGTGTCCCCGCATTAAAAATGAGCGAGCTAGCTACTAATCATCACCCTGGCCATCGTAACCAAACTCTGATGCTTACAAATCAACCATTGAAATTCAATGCTTGTCACATTGGTTGCCAATTTCTCCTTTCATTAGGGGAACAAACTAGTAAACCATTGCTGGTTACCCAAGGTGTAATTTATCTAGGATATTTTCGCCTAATGTTTGGCAATAATTGACACATTATGTCTATCACCTTCGAGCATTCGATGACGTCTTCTTTATAATCACATCTCCCCTCTTAAAGGATGATTGATGAAGATAACTATCCACCATCAATGGATGTTTACTCAATTACCTCAAATTCTCATTTTCATTATGGAATATATGTTCCATAATTTATGCCTACTATATTATATTATTACATATTTTGTTGTAGGACAGACATCTTTTATTATTTACAATTCATAATAATAAAATTATATTAACTTAGTTATGCGCACTAATTTCTCTATTTTCTTAAAATTTCACTTGAAAAGTTATAAGCTACTCAAAATTTATTTATGTACGTAAAAACTTTGTTCAATGCTAATATTTTGTGACAAAGAATTTATGGTGATAGAGTGATTTATTAACATCTTAACATTATAAAAGATCCAACATACACATAAAAAGAGAGCTAATAGACAGGAGACCAAAGTTTCTTACATAAAAGCCACAACAGGGAAAAAATCATGAGACCTAAAATAGTTAAAATGGTTCCATTATTAGATGTATAATAGAAGATTTTGCTTGCTCTTGAACAATGAAAAATAATATTAAAAGAGTGAATTCTATCAACTTGACCTTCACTAAGAAAGAGATGAAAAGTGTTAGTTCGTATTTAGATTGTTTCAGCCCATTTGAGATCATGCTATGTCCTCATATAGGGAGTAGAAGTACAAACAGAGAGTATTTTATAACTTGAATTATTTTAGTAAAATTTTTTATATTTATGAGAAGGCTTGAGAGATATAGTTATCAATATTCTTATCTTGAATGTAGAGAAATTGTTTAACTATGATCGTGTTTAAGATGTTGACATAATTAACCTTTCAAGGTTGTAGTGAAAGTTGCCCGCGATCCTAAAATTAATTTTTGTAGGTTTGATGCCCAAGTAGATTGTAAAAGAACTACCTAGCCATAACTCTGCCCATGATGTTGATATAAATGACCTAATAATGGAGAATGTTGCCCCCAAGTTAGAATTAATTCTCACAAACTTGATAACCGGTGAAAGGTAGAAAATGTCACCTTTCAACAACAATACCCAAATGGTTGACATGAATGAACATAGAATAAATTAATATAGTAAGATGAAATTGTGCTAAGTTGTATATGAGCATTTGATGGTTGCAAGAAAGTGGGTTCGTATGAGATGAATGGAGGGAACTAGCAATATAAAAGAGGTTGAAATTTTGGTTCGATAGGGAAGAATTTCGCCATTGCTGGGAAAGGCCTCATATGTGCATCCTTGAGTGAGGCATTCTCCATTGTTGGTTGAACTTGGGGAATGTAAAGTTCATCTGATTGTGCTATTATCTGATGTGGTCAGCTTGGATATTCTCTTGGGTGTCTTCTGACTATAAGACCTCGAGGTTGAGCGCTACCTGTAAGACGTGGTGGTCGCCCGGTGAAGTGGTCTTTCCACTTCTAAAGCTAGAGTTTGAAACTTATTTATAGTAAGCTGGTAGAAATTGACGTCGAATCTCCTGCTTCACCTTCAGAATCTCCCGTCCTCCACATGCTGGCTTTTTTCTTGGCCTCCTCTGATACTGAAATCCAAAGCGTCATGGCCGGTCTTTTGCATCACTAAAGTCCTCCTTATGGAAGGGATTCAGATCATCGTCCCTTGCTGTCCTTTGATTCTTCAGATCTCGGTCAAGGATACTCTCCTCCGTGGTTCCATCCTCAATATCCGCAAGCTTCTGTTGAAATCGGCAGACATATATCTCCTTGGTGGCATGGCTATAATTTATAGTTGCGAGGTGAAAGAGGATGTCAAAGCTTAATTGAAGGTGTAGGAAAACTAATTTGGGGTTGCTGATTTGGAAAATCAGCAAGGGGAGATTATGGTTAGTCAAAGTTTGGCTAGAGTTTGGGAATAGGAAAGAAAATTTTGGTGGAGGTGACTTGGGTAGCGGCTTATGTTAGGAAACCCTAGAATAGTATTAGGGTTAAGCTAACTCTGATACCAAATGATAATGGAGTCATCCTAAACCACAATATAAATATAAACATTATTTCTAAATTCAAATAGGATTACAAAGACGACTCTTCAAACATGAAATAAATGATAACAAACCTAAAACTACATAGGCAAACACCACTAAAGTGTATCCAAAGAATGGTGGAGGTCTGCTAGGTATATCAGGATGATTGGCGAGGGTGGCGGCAATAAAGGATTGCTGGTGGCAACGAGGAGGAGGTGCAAAAATACAGTTACAACAAGATTGGAGGCTGTCCTGGGTGATGACAACGAGGCGTTAGGGTGGATAGCGGTAGGGACAGCAGGAAGGAGGTGTACCCTGGCTGTCCTTGGTGGTAGTGTCTTAGTGGTTGAGCTGGGACAACAGGAAGGAGGTGCAGTTTGGGCGGCAACAAGCTGGAAGGGAGGGGAAGGTGGCTGGTAGGCTGTGGACTGCACAAAACAACAAACCGAGTGCTATTTTGGGCAGCTACAACGAGCGATGTGGGAAGATGTAGAAGGGAATAGGAGGAAGATAATCATTACCTCAGGCCAGAGCACCACCCAATTGGATACATCCTTCGAAGGGGAAGTAGATGCCGGCGGCTATCCTGACAAAAATCTGAAATCTGAAATTAATCAAAAGCTAAGACTAAGCAAGCTAAACCACACATTTATAATAGCTAAAAAATAAAATAGGAAGGAGTTTGAATATGAAGGAAATGTAATTAGGAAGGAAGAAGAGAAAGGCAAGGGATCAACATACTTTCTCTTCGTCTCATTGGGCCTTCACCTATTACTCATAAAGTAGGATCATACATGTGAGAATTAAGGCCCTTCTTGGGTGAATTTGCATTTTGTACTTGATTTGACTTTAAGACTCTTCTAACATGTAGCAAATAAGGACTTGCATAACCCTTTCACAGCTTGCATTAAACTCTTAGAGTCTCACTAATAGAAAAATATAATTAATTAGACTTTCCTCAATTGATTGCTTCTGATTGATCATGCCTATCTTTTTTCAGTTGGATTAGTTAAGTCAACTTTATATTACATTAATAATAAAATTTAAATTTTTAAAATTTCAAAATATTTACATGTGTGAGAAGTATATGTCTATACAGACCTC